TGGCGAGTTGTAGTCGTCTCTTTTCTTTCACTATTTTTTATTTTCAAATAGAAAGTTTAAAAGTAAAGAATAATTAAAATTTGGCATGGGTCGGTCAAATAGGTTGAATTTCAAGTTTTGGCCCGTTTGTTTTATGCATTGCAAATTTATTAGCATGTTGATGGAAATTGCTTGGAAAAAAGACATATAAGTTGTACCTGTGCAGAAATGTCCTCAAATGTTTGAATGCTTTGTGAATCAGCTTCCGTGACTTTTGTGATGGTGTATGTGCTTGACTAATGCTCGATGTTGTAACTACTTAATTTGAGAGTAAATCTTTTGATTTTCCCTATGAGTTGTGATACCAGTTCTGGTGGTTGCAGCATGTTGTCGGTGTTGGCCTGTAAAAGTTGTTCCGCCGTGATGCTAAATACATTTCTTTCTTTTTTAACAAATTGTGTAGTAGTGCTATGAAACAGACCACCCATGAACGCTACGCTTATTATGGTCTGTTCTTACTTCCGGTGGTGAGAAATTGTGAATTGGGAATCATATTCGCCTACCGCACTGTGTCTTGCTGGTGGCTGCTTACTATGCTCTCTAGAGTTCTGAAACAGACTACCCATGAACGTTACCTTTAAGAGTCCATGACTTTGCGAAAAACCAAATTTAGGCAATCAAAGGTGGTGGATGTGTGATGATTTTTTATGGCTTAATTGTTTGTGAATTGGATATCTGATCTTTGTATGATTAGAGGGGATGTTTGCTTAATAGAATAATCCATTTTAATTCATGTTTATTTTTAACATGAACTTTAGTATCTCAAAACCTTCGAGACACATATCACCTACTGCATTGTATCATTTTGCCTCGGTGATTGCTGTGTTGTCAAACTTCTTTGCTGTTGCTGCTGCATTTACACTAACAGGGGAGTTAAGAACCCATGAATGTTTCCGTTTGACACAAACAAGAGGACTTACTTCTAAATCGTGCACTAAAGATGATTGGAGGAAACATCTCTATTGCAGTTGATATACTAGAGACCATAACAAAAGCAACGTATAACATCAAAACCAACCATCTGAACTATTAGCATTACTCTTTTTTCGTGGTTGAGTCTCCTTCAAAAAATTTAGTTTGATTTTAGAAAAATTTGCTTTTGCAGTCCTGTCTTGCCACCAACGCGTTCAGTAGATGGAGATGGCAGAGGCGAAGGCTATTTTTGTGTTGTTGTTGCTGGTTTAGGGATCGGTTTGTGAAGAAGAGGAAGAAGAGAGGGGGATAACTCTTTTCTCTGACAAAAATGGAGTGAAGAAAGGAATTATGATCAGTAAGGATATGGTTATCTTACATAACGGTCTCTATTTTGTTTGAATTGAGCTTTGGAGGCAGTGATAAGGACGAGCTGCAACCAATTCATAGTGATAAGAGTGCTATGAACTGTGATCATGTCTTATTTCAAGTTAGAAGGTAGTTTCAGTATAAGGATTATTTAATTTGACAAGTTGTTTCGTCCATGATTCTTGGTAGTTTCAGTGCCATTCTAGCCATTGTTTAGTATGTAATTTTTGAGAATTGATGTGCGAGTAATGACTTTCACTTAGCTTCAACTATTATGTGTGTATTTATTGGCATGTGATAGAATTCTCTTTTCCTTTTCTTTGGATTCTGTTTCATACTCTAATTGTATCATTTGTACATAGGCAAATCATGCTCGAGATGACAACTCGCTGATATGGCTGGTGCAAGGAATGAAGCCATCATTAGAAATCAGACCGACAACGGAGAGGGATGCCCATGACTAATTCAATGATGATTGATGATGGTATGATAAAAACTGCAGTCTGCATCAGCACCAATTTCTAGGCCTAAGTAAAGTTATTCAACCCAGAACTCTGCTTAGCGTTAAAAATTGCCCTCACCCAACCTTGATCCTGTTTGACTCACTTCTGAAGAGTCAAGATATATGACTAATCCTCTCTGTTCGTATTTTCTTATTGATTCTTTCTGACCCTTTAGGTTGGGGCGGGTCGTGAAAAATCGGATTAGTGGGTCGGTCCTAATCAAGTGGAATCTCAATCCCTTCACTCTCACTTGCTTTCTCTCCCATTCCACAAGTGGGTAACATATAGTAATCCGGCCAACAGGCCGGGTAATAAGCTAGTTTCTATATACAAAGCAAGTAATTTTTGAATTTTGTTTAAAGTGGAAACTATATTTTGTATAGCAGGTAAAAAATGGTTATCATGTTAATGGTGCAATCTAATTATCGAATCGAAACTGATGGTTAACGGTTACATTGATAACCGATTAGATAGTAAACTGTCGGTTTTCGCTAGTCAAATTTAGCTAATAACTAACCGATGGTTAAACAGTTAACCGACAAACCGATTACTACCATTCTCATAGTTAGGACAAAAAATAATAGATTTCCACAAGCAGCAGATATAGGCCGGAAATAATGGGGTGTTTGAAAGCTTACAAGTCCCCTTGCTTATCCTAGTTGTGATAGTGACTTAGACTCAAATGAGAATAATTTAAAAGAAGAGTTTTAGAAGGAGCATAGTAGAAAGTCAAACTTGCGACAATTGCTCGACAATAGTCAGTAACATTAAGCTTCCATGTAATTTGGTGGGGTTTACGAGTTGAGTAATTGTTGTTGAGTCTCTTATCATATGCTTTTTAAAAAAAGTTTGACTGTAGAATGATATTATTGTGTACTTGTGTTGGATTGAGTTGGTTATGTATTGATATATATCTATGTTAAATTACTTTTTATTCAATAATAACAACTTAAGAAGAGAACACATGCGTATGCATGAAAAATTATATAAACTTCACAATTGAAAAAGGAGGTGTTTTGTTGGTTAGGTTATCGATAAGATACTTAGGTATAACCTTGTCGAATCACTTGGTTAACGGTTATGCAGTTCACTGACAAAATAATAGAGACGACTATACGGTTACGGTAACCGACTAATTTAAACACTATGGTTAACCGTGAAGCACTGACTAACGGTTATGGTTATCACCGGACCGATTATCAACCCTAATCTTTTAAGTCTTTCTTTATTTACGAGGAAATTCCAAAGCGAGCCACATAAATATCTAGCGGTGAATAATGGTCTGGTCCGGTTCGCATCGAATCAAATCGGCCTTTGGATTAGATAGTACCGGGTTGCATTATACTAAGTTTGGTGTGGTACTTGTTCATATGAAGTTTATAATTATTGAAGAAAATATGGACATAATTGATATTTGGACCAGACCAAATGGACCGAATGTAGTGATGGTATGATCCTTGATTCTAAGATACCTTTCAATAATAGCCCGCGATTCTCATGATTTAGGTCAGGATCGGACTGGTTCGAACCGTTGCATACTCCTACCATTATCCCTTGGTGCATGTATTTTCCAATGAGTCAAAGAGAATGGGGAACCGTTATAAATTCTTATAAGGATGTATTTGGAATTGCAAACTTCATTAGCTAGAATTAGTGGCGCAATTAGGATCAAAATCCATGAATTCAATTCAATCATCTACCAAATTATCTAATTAATCCAATCCATTTAAATCCAATCCATTTGATCTACATCCAATTGGATTGGTGGATTCATGGATCCAAATAACAAATTACGATTTGGTACCTATATTTTTATATTTTACATTTTAGTACCTAAAATTTATATTTTATACGAAAAATATCATTGGAAATTTACATTTTGGTACCTAAATTTTTTTCATTAAGACATTTTAGTACCAAAAATTTTCAAATTTTACATTTTGGTCCAATCTTTGGATGTCATTTGGATTCATGGATCAATCCACCAATCCATTTGATCCAATCCATTAAACCACTAATCCATTGGATCCAATCCATTTGATCCATGTATCCACCAATCCAATCCACGAATCCACGAATCCGATCCAATTGCCACCTCTAGCTAGAATAATCAAGGTGGGTATAGATAAAAGTTATATGAATCGAATTATGTAGGTGTACATAAGATCAAAATAAAAATAAAGGGGACGTAAATTGTAAAGAATCAAATAGAACATCACGTAAGTTGTTTGTTTAAGTTTTTTTCCCCGATATAGCTTACTCAATCGAATTAAAAAAAGAAGCAAATAGCATATACATAACTTTTTCGAATTGAAAAATATTAGACGAATTAATTATGTGTTACCATCTACATGAGTCAATTATTATAATAGAATTGAATTATTCCAATATCACATCGACATCTATGCTCAAATACATATATACAAACTCGATATATCAACCTAGACAACCATGAGAACAAGAGGGCTTATACACATTGGAGACAACATTATTCATTTATTTGTAAATTAGATGGCCCATGTTGTGACACTTTTGTTTATGGGCTTAATAATTCATGTCATTTGAATGTAAGGGTTGATTATTTTTATATAGACCTAGACCGCATGTAGTTGTTGAGCTTTGTTTGAAGTGGAAACTTCTTTTTGAAGTCTTTCTTTATTAACGAGGAAACTCCAAAGCAACCAAACATTATCCGTTGATGCATATATTTTCCAATCAAGCAAGGATAATGGCATGTGGAGACCGTCTAAAAAATTAAAACTGTAATTTTTTTTGGTTGAAACGAGTCAATTAAAGTGAAAAAAAACAAATCACATCGGAATGAGCTCGATATAAATAATAGTAGATGAGTCACTTGCGAGTTACCATGTACGAATCATATCGTCACAATATGATTGAATTAGTCCAATATCAACATCCTCATCTACACCAAACACAAATATCCAAACCCAATATATGAACCTAATATAGTTTAAAACCACTCAAATACGATAAATTGCTTGCCCAAAAATCTGAAATCAAATGACACATTATTGTTCAATTGCCTTACCGTTCTCAATACAAGAGTCTATGTACAAAATTATAGATAACCACGAGAACAAGATGGCTTATACACATTCGAGACAACATTATTTGTAGAAACTAACAGTTAACACCAACCTCACAACCACTATGCTATCAATACAAACTCCTCCCATCTCCTTCATTGATAGCATCCTTAAACCCGCCACCACTTGGTATCATCGGCAAAACATGCTCCTGATGAGGCACAATCACATCAAGCAAGTACGGCCCTTCACTCTCCAGCATCTTCTTCATCTCCTCCTTCAAATCCCCCAACTTCGTCACTCTAGCGGCCGGGATCCCACACGCTTCAGCAAACTGCAACATGTTGGGGAAAATCTCCTCTTCATTCGCCGGGTTCCCCAGAAAAGTATGCGCCCTGTTGGCCTTGTAGAACCTGTCCTCCCACTGAACCACCATCCCCAAATGCTGATTGTTCAGCACCATGATCTTCACGGGCAGATTCTCCACCCGAATCGTCGCCAGTTCCTGCACATTCATCATGAAGCTGCCGTCGCCATCGATGTCCACCACGGTCCTCCCGGGGTTCGCCACAGCAGCTCCGACCGCGGCCGGCAGGCCGAACCCCATGGCGCCCAGGCCCGCGGAAGTGAGCCACTGCCGCGGGTTTTTGTACTTGTAGTACTGTGCCGACCACATTTGGTGCTGACCCACCCCTGTGCTCACTATCGCGTTTCCTTGAGTCATTTCGTCGAGCAGTTGGATGGCGTGCTGTGGAGGGATCATGTCGCCGAATGTCTTGTACTTTAATGGGAATCTCTGCTTCTGATCGGCAACTTCTTCTCTCCAGGAGGTGAAGTCGAGGTTGAATTGAGATCCCTTCTTCTCCATGATTGAATTCAGGCCCTGCAGGGCGGGCTTCAAATCGGCGCACATCGCGACGTGCGGCTGCTTGTTCTTCCCGATTTCGGCCGAATCGATGTCGATGTGGACGATTGTAGCTCTGCTGGCGAACGTTTCGACCTTCCCGGTGACGCGATCGTCGAATCGGACACCGAACGCGAGGAGGAGATCGGCGTTATCGATGGCGTAGTTGGCGTACATGGTCCCGTGCATTCCGAGCATTTGGAGGGAGAGATCGTGGTCACAGGGGAAGCTCCCGAGTCCCATGAGCGTGCTGGCTACGGGAATTCCCGTGAGGTCGACGAATCGACGGAGCTCCTCGCTGGAATTCAAAGATCCGCCGCCGACGTAGAGGATCGGCTTCTTCGATTGGTAGATGAATCGAACGATCTGTTCCAATTGAGAAGTCTCCGGCGGTTTCGGGAGCCGGGCGGTGTAACCCGGCAGCTTGACGGTTCGGGTCCAGGTCGGGACGGCGAGCTGCTGCTGGACGTCTTTGGGGATGTCGATGAGGACTGGGCCGGGTCGACCCGTTGACGCGATGTAGAAGGCTTCCCGTACGATTCTAGGGATTTCATCGACGTCTGTGACGAGGTAATTGTGCTTGGTGATTGATTTGGTTACCTCGACAATTGGGGTTTCTTGAAACGCGTCGGTGCCGATCATCCGGCGGGGGACCTGGCCTGTGATGGCGACGAGGGGGACGCTGTCGAGCATGGCGTCGGCGAGGCCGCTGACGAGGTTGGTGGCTCCCGGGCCGGAAGTGGCGATGCAGACGCCGACTCGGCCGGAGGAGCGGGCGTAGCCCTCGGCGGCGAACACGCCGCCTTGCTCGTGGCGGGGGAGGGTGTTCTTGATTAGCTTTGATCGGGTCAGGGCCTGGTGGATCTCGAGCGACGCGCCGCCAGGGTAGGCGAAGACGTGGCGGACACCTTCGCGCTCCAGGGCTTCGATCAGGACGTCGGCGCCCTTTCTGGGCTGGTCGGCGGTGAAGCGGGAGGTGAAGGAGGCGGTGGAGGTGGTGGTGTCGACGATGGCGGCGGCGGGGGCGGCGGAAGGAGGGGGGATTTGGGGTTTGTTTTTGTTGGGGTCGTTTGAGTGGTGGAGGGGGGAGGAGGAGGCGGCGACGGTGGTGAGGCGGATGGTGTGGCGGCGGAGGTGGTGGTGGTCGGAGGGTGGGAGTGAAGAGGGTTGTTTGAAGGGGAAGGACAGATTCGGAGCGGTGGAAGTGTACGCCATGGTCGGAATTTCTTTTCTTCCGCCGGGAAGAGACTAGAGAGGGAGGAAAGAACGAGTCAACTCAAGGAGACATTGCCGGGTTTTAATTTGGAGTTTCCTTCGGCTGAGTTATATATAACGCCTTCCGTTTCCCTCACTATTGAAGGAAGGGTTTTGATGGCTCCACAATGACAGGAAATGGAAAGCCGTTAACAGTAGTGAGTGGGGAATAATGATGGTGCACAAACCCAAAAAACAACATAGAAGAAGAGAAGTGGAGGGTGGATAACAATATTGGTAGTTGGGAAAGAAGACAACTAATGTTAGTAGGTGAAACTTTGTAACGTGCAAAACGCTGTGTACTGTTCTCCCCAAGCCATGGCAGCTGAGCACATTACTGTACATAAAAGAACCATCTATGATCGGGCCTCGTAATGTCTTGTAGATGGGCCAATATGCAGGCTGGAAACTCCCATGAGCCAGGCCCATGTTCATCATCTTTGTTCCGAGCCCAAGACCAACACAAAGCCCATTCCAAAACGACCCGATTGTTTCACCGTAACACGTGCGCGCTGGGCCCCTCTTCATCCGAAGATAAGCTCTGCATTTCCGAAAACGTTCGCTCCTTCTACCTTCTTCTCCATTTTGGTGAACTATCAGCTCTGAGCTAGCCATGGCGGCCACCGCAACCTTCAATCTGATAGGCTCCTTCAAGGGCCTCTCTCTCTCATCCAGCTCTTCCTCGTCGTCTTATTCTTCTTTCTTCAATGGTGGATTCGCTGGCCTTGGGCCTCAGAACTCCGTGTCGCTGCCGCGAAAGGGCGCGTTCCAATTGACGATTGAAATGGCTCACAAGAAGGGAGCCGGAAGCACCAAGAACGGCCGTGACTCCCCCGGCCAGCGCCTCGGCGTCAAAATCTTCGGCGACCAGCTCGCCAAGCCCGGAGCTATCATCATCCGCCAGCGCGGGACCAAGGTCAGAATCGATTCAACTGCACTGCTAGTTTTTGTGCTAGTTAATTTTATCTGGACGATACTAAATTCTAGGGATTTGAATTTGGTTGGATTTATGGTGAATTCGAGTTACTTTTGGATAGAAATTTCATACCGTTTGATACAAATGCACTCCTCATGAGGTAAGGCTAGCTAGGTAATGGATGTTTTCATGATCTGAGAGCAACTATGTCAATATTGTGATCTATTAATGGAAATCGGCTGCAACCAAATGATGGTTTCGTTGTTGAACTGTAGGAGGATTGAGTTGAATAGGTAGAGCAGAAAGTTTTCATGGGGTTATTCAGCTAACAAAGAACTAGAACGATTTATTGGGTATCCGGGCTGGTAATGTCAGCTGGAGTTGCAGAAATTCCAGCAGATTGCAGCTCTTGTGACTCATATTTATGCAGATGGCCATTTGGTCTTATTCCTCTTGCTTCATCTTTCAGTTCCATCCAGGAAACAATGTGGGAATGGGGAAGGATCATACCATCTTCGCGCTGATCGATGGCCTCGTCAAGTTCGAGAAGTACGGTCCTGACAGGAAGAAGGTAATCAATCAAGTTTCTCAAATCCCTTTTGACTTTTCAGTTTGTTTGAAGTAGTGTCGACACTGGATTTCTCGGCTCTTCAGGTGAGTGTATACCCACGAGAAATTGTGCCGGAGAACCCCAACAGCTATCGAGCAAGGAAGCGAGAGCAGTTCAGGCTACAGCGCGAGAAGAAGAAGGCCAAGAAGGAAGGCAGAACCTTTGCACGGCCGGAGCCACAATTGGTCCTTGCTTCCAATGTTGATGCGGCACAAGACAACCCAGTCTGTTGATCAAGTAGTACTGTCCGTTGTATGAATTTAAACAGCTAAAAGAGACTACAAGCTTAGCCAACACTTTGTTATGGCGTTCCATCCTTTGCAATGTAATTGTTTGGCTGATTCTATTGCGACAATACACAGATTCACTGCAGTTTAGTTTACTGTAATTGTCTGGCTGATTTAATTGTGAGAATAGTAATACATTACTGGGTTCAACGAAGCAGCGAAATAAGTACTCAAATGGCGAGATTAAATCCAAGAGAAGTATTTCTTCATCAAAACATGAATTCAAGTCTTGACAACTCTTTAAAATGTAGAACAAAAACTGAGAGTACATTCAGAACTATCTCTTTTACTTTTCCTAAACTTTTCAGTCGTTCTCATCTCTTTAGGATGCTGCAGTCAGTACACAAAGGAAAGACCAGACGAACCAACCACTTCCCCAGCAACTGCTCCATGCCTTCCCTCTGCACAAATTATAAGTGTTTCAATCAATCAATCTGTAAGCCCTAATTTAAGAAGAAATTTGTTCAACAGCCAATAGCAGTTTGATTGAACTCGCAGAAGTGGATTGGGAAAAACTGATGAAAGCAATTCACATGCAACCATAACCAACGAGAAACAATATTTCTCGCTAATTTCCTGCACAATTCATTTCCTCGAGTTACCACCAACCATTGGGAATAGGTTATGAAGATCATTAGATCAGATATTGGAGCTGAATTGAGCTACACTCTTGTAAGGAAGCCTTAGAACTACGGCTTAACTTTAAGCTATTAGCTAAATCAAACCAGACCCAACCATGGTGCTATTGATGCAGATATTCCTTAATCAGAAATCCAAATCCCCCATTGATCACTAAGTCGTAGCAGTGTTTGGCTGAACTAGTCAAAGAGGGGGAGGAAATACAAACAAACACAATGCCCCATACATCCATCCAAACCCAAAGACAGCAAGCAAGAAAATGCAATTGCATTTGCCAAATTCCCAGCACGATTCAATTTCTTTCACGTTATCAACCATGGGATGCTCAATATCATTGTATCAGGTATTAGAGCTGAATTAAGCTTAGCTGGAGTGAAGCCTGGAACTCCAAGCTTACCCTTCAGCTCATAGGCGAACTACCAGACAGGCCAACGATGCTAATGATGGTCATCATTCATATATTCCACATGCATAATGATAAAAGAATTTCAGAAAAAGTTATGCACTGAATGCATGTACTCTGCACTACCTCAATTCCCTAAGGAACCAGTCACTAGATCTACTAGAGCTGAATTGCAGTAAACAGGAGCGACCTGTAGGCCAGGAGAATCGAAGCTTACCATAGCTGAATCTAACCAGATCCGACGATGATGTTATTGATCGGGATGAAGATGAGCTTGACGAAGAACCCAACGAATCCCATCACCACGAAACCAATCGCCGTTCGCACTGCCACCTTCGAGAATTCTGCGACCACCAAAAACGAAATCGGTAAACAAACCGGGGCATGGCGATAGGTGGCCGCCGCCGAATCGACCGACGGCGGCTCCAGATCTCGTCAAAAGAGACAGTTCGGAAAAGGAAGAATTGGGGAAAGATTTATTTTACCTTTCCGATCGGGCTTGTGGCAACGCTTCACGAGGCGGACGCTGTCCTTAGCGAACTCCCTCAAAGGATCGAAGACGTTGTCAATGGCGTCCATCTTTGATTTTTCTCGATCTCCTCTCTCTCTTTCTACCGTTCTCTCTCTTTATCTCGCGAAGATGGGAAGACTAATTTGAGATAGATTTGTTCGCTCATAGACGCGTATTTATGAAGGGGTCATCATACAAATGGTCACTCAATTTTGGACTAACTAAACAACTGGTCACTGAATTCGTAGTTTTAACAAATTTGTCGCTCCAATATGAATTCTCTATTAACTTATAATTTGAACATATTAGGTATCAGCTTATCAAATCAATCAAATGAATATCTCAATCCAATACGAATTTAGCTTACGTGAATATCTCAATCGAACTTAAATTTGTTAAAAGTCAACCTTATTCTTCGATTCAATTTTTACATGTACTCTTCAACTCAAATTTGTTATTTCTCGTGTCAAATGTATATAACATTTTTTATATTAGTTATCACCTTATTAAAGTCTATATAACATTTGTTTAATCATTAATTTGGGTAAGTTGACATCTTGGCTTGACCAATTGGTCCAAATAACTTGATTATATCATTATTCTTAAACTTACGTATCTAATTTGTTAGGGACTCAAACTTTAGTGACCATTTATGTAGAAGATCTTTTTATTCATTTGCTTTCCGTTCCCGTTCGGATACTAATCTCTTTCAAGTCTGTGCAACCACGTCATCTGATAGGACATCAGTATCCTTCTTCAATACAAAGAATTACATAACGTGCCACAATACAGTGGTGAATACAATAAGCTCAATACAATAAGGGTGAGAGCAGAGAGTTTAGCCAGTGTGACAGTGTGGGAAAGGACCTGAAAGCTTTAATGAAGCTATGCCCATGTAATACTAATACGATATGAACTACTACCCATCACAAGGTTGTATGAACCACAAAATGCTGGGAGACCCTCTATGGTGGTGGGGTTGAATCCTCCGGCTTCTTGGTATTGCGCTGATGAACAGATCGAGGGACGAATGTGAGTCCACGAGGGTTGCGTCGACCAAATGATACTGAAGAAGGGGTGGAACCGGTGGTCAGGTTGGAGAGTGCTGAAGTTAGGCTGTCGACGCTGGCTTCACCTTCCACGTCCATTTTTTGACTCGTCGTCCCTTCCTCCTCTTCCTCAGTCTCCTCGCGTCTGTCTGTCGTAGCAGCTTGTTTGCGGTGGATCTTCTTCTCCCTAGCTTTCTTGGACGGGTGATGGGATGCCTTGTTCTTGAAGAAATCGTATGAACTTGGGAAGTTATGCTTGTCGACCAAATGCCGTTGCCTGCTCTTGTAGCTCTTGAACTTCAACCCACAGCCTTCCACCAAGCATTCATACTGTGGCAGAAAATGGCAATGACATCAAACATTGAACAGCCATGTAAGCAAATATCAGACCTATTTTGGCCAGCACGAAGATACGCATTTAAGCTAGGAATGCTCAGGCAAGGAGAGATAGATTTACCATGGGATAACCACGAGCAACTTTAGCTTGGAAGAAGGAATCATGTGCTTCGGATATATGTATGCTGAGTAGGCGAGAAGTTGGGTAGACTTTATAGCATACTGAACAGGCTGCAGCGTGCTGCGAGTTATAGTGGTTTTCGAAGTTCTCCAGAGATGTCAAACGTGCCCGACAGCCAACAATGGGACAGAAAAGATCCCTGCTCAGAAGCAGATTTTGAGTTTAAAGATGTTAGCACCAAACACAGACACAACATCAATCTACACTTGAAATTTGACACATGTGAAAGATAAGGCAGTGCTTTTGGGAACTCTCGGGTTCAGGCATGTCGAAACAGCTTAATCGATTCATTGCATTACAAAAATTCAAAGCATCAGAAGGTCTATTTCGGCCAGCCTAAGAAAGAACCACATTCATCTATTACAACATCAGCGACTGTAATGTATCAGCAAACCTAAGAGATTAACATATCCATCTGCCAATCAAAGCCATCCGATTATCCCTAATTAAGAAATCGCTATAAGGATCTTTTTTCAAAACTACCAGAACAACAGGAAATGGATCACATCTCTTAATTAGGGCACATACTTGCAGTCTTCATCCAGCAGACGCCATAGTTGATGCTTCTCTTCCTCACCTAAATCCAGCGCAATCTACAAAAATGGAATGACACAGCTGAAAGCTCAACCATAGCCTCAATCCCAAACTCAAAATTTAATCCATATCCACCGCAGAAAACACGATTTCCCTCCATTCCATGAGATACAAAAACAGCCAGATCAATTGAACAGAAACTTCGATCATTTTCCAAAATGTGCCACTATTTTAATGAAATCACACAGTAAAAAATTCCAAACCCTTTCAATTTGCACCCAGAGTGATCCATGAACGAAGAAAATCCGAGAAGATTTGTGTGTTGCGAACCTGTTTGGCGAGAAGCTCGCGCTCAATGTTGCCAGATTCGAAGAAAGGAGACTCCGGCGCGAAGCGACGGCGGACAGGATTCCAGCACGGAAAACCGGAGTCGGCCTTCGGATCAACGTCGAGTACCATCATGGCCATGGCGAATGTCCTCTCCGGCAGTCAATAGAAAGATGGGGAAGAATGGATCGTCGGATTCTTTTGCAGCTCCGTAGATGGAATTTCAAACGGGACGATGAGCGAATTCTTCTGGATTTGTGTCGTCTTGGGGTTGGGTGATGACTGATGAGAAGAAGAAAAAAACTGCACTTTTTTTATTCTTCTACGACCTGTTAACTTTACCGTTACTACGTCCCTTTTTGGGCCTGACTTTTGGGCCTAAACCCATAAGAATTTTGCGCTGGAAGAGTCGTAAGAGCCCAGACCGAACAATCTACCAGGGCCTGGTTTTGAGGTACGAAGGTCAAATAGTTAGTACCGGAGTCTGTGATTGATTTGCAACAACTTGCCACTGATTTGGTCAGTATCGGTTGATGGATGGTCGATTGAGATTGGCAATGCAATGGAAATATTGATGAGTAACCGCTCAATGGATTATATTATATGAAAAAGAAGTTATTGGACTGTCCTATCTGAAATGGAATAGATGTAACTATGTACTGACATCTTGCTCTTGAGTAGAGGTGTTGTTTTAGGCTGTAGGGTTTCTTTCCCATTTATGTCATAAAATTATAAAACAAATGAAAAACAACAAAAGGATCATAGTGGAAAACATATATTGATTTGAGAAGGCCTGTTGCACATGTGAATCTGTTGCATATTTGCCAATACCGCACCATAACCTATCCTAATTTGGTCGTGAGAATCACACATGGGGCACAAAAGATTCTGGTAACCAACTAGGGATAGCTTTTGAGCAAGTATATTGATGCAAGGATGAATGCACTGAACATGGATTCTTTGTGGAACACAAAGGTCAAATTTTGTTTGAGAGTAGGTAAGGGTATTGATTCTCATTAAACTATTTTATTGTGCTTCAAATCATGGTTCATGAAACCGTACAGGATATCATATTGGAAAAGTCAGCGGTATGATATTTTATGATAAAATCGTGGTTTAACCGTTAGTATCGTTAAATACCTCATATTGGTTTAGTCTCCGATATTGGTATTTCGTGGTTGAACAGCCAATACGGTTTTATTAACTATACTTCAAATATGTTTTTTTTTATGTGAATCTAACCGAATACACTTTTAAACTGGATCATTGAGGCGACATTAACTAGTCAATTTAACTCTACAACACCAACGGTTGAAAGATGAACAAATATCAATTCCTTATCATTCTTATTTCTTAAGAAATCTAGCTAGTTAATTAACAAAGACAAATATGTTGTACTCTATAGAAAGGAAACGAGTATATGGTTCAACCAGATTCCAACATATGTATAAGGTGTTGGTTGTTAATGTCTCCTTAACTAGTGAAGAATTTTCTGGTTGTTTCATTTACTTTCAAAGTTGTGACTTTTGGGGTTAGTTATTTGGTCGTTGTCATTTGTATGTCACAAGCAGGGTGGTGGCATTATTCCAAACCTAATCTCATCTAGAAAAATAGTAAAATACCAACAAATGAAGAAGAAAATAACTTATTAAATAAAAAACAATACAAAATGCCAAGATGGCTGAATTTGACTTGTATTAAATACACCTACCCTAGCTAAAAACAAGATCACTCGGCTCTATTATATTAATAGCAACATTTCCTTTCTGTTTCTATTTTTCTTTCTTATAACCTCTTAATTTGCTATTAATTATGGCTCATTTTAATCTAGCCACATGGCTCTCAATGCACAGCCCAGAGGATTTTTTGTCATTTCTTTTTTGCCTGTGAGAAGTTGCTTGACGATATCGAGGAGACTATCAGAAGTCAGAACTTGGATCTCAATGGATTCCATATGTACCAAATTGTTGATCTCTTAATTCATTAATGGGGGAAATTGCTTATTGAAGGGGACAAAGGTCACAATCTCAAACATACTTAACTAATGAAAAAAGTCTAAGGATGGTCACCACTTAATATTTATTTTGATGATAATTAGGATGAATGTGGCTCCATATAATTGCTTTGTTAATCTTTAGTAGTTTATTGGAAAAAAAAATCATTTATAATTAGTGTAGCATATGTTTATCAACTAGACAAGACAACCACGAAACTTTTGTAAATAACTTAAACTTATTTTTATGTTGGTCTTTTAATATGCTCCTTTTAACAATTGCGCATAATGTTTTCTTCTGAGTTCTTGACTATTTACAATCAGCAAATGACGATTCTTTACTATTTGTAGGATTATTTCATTCATTAAAAAAATAAATAAATTCCAACATCCGTTTAGATTTAGCAAGGAAAAAGTACATTTTATAACTTTTTATCTGTTTCTCTTCTTTCTTTACTACAATTTCTCATCTCCATGGTCTATAAAAAAAATTATAATCTCTATGGGGAAAAGAACCCATTATCAAAGGCAAGTGGAGAAAATGGAGGCTGATTAGCCAGACCTAGTCACCATATATTAATCCTTCTTTTAATTTCCCCTCTCCCTCCATTTCATCTCTATATATATGTCTACTCTCTAGACGACCATTGGAAACCAAAAGGAAAGAAGGAGAAGGGTCCTGAAGGAAACAAGCAGTCAAAGTAGAGAATATGGGTTATTCAAGAAGCACTCCCTTCGATAGTAACGTTACGACGGCGCCGGCCAGCATTACGATGATCGCTGTGCTGATCATCGCCGTCGGCATATCATCGGCGGCGGGACAAGGGCCGCTGAGGGAGAACTTCTACGCCGGGAGCTGCCCGAACGTGGAGGCCGTCGTTCAGCAGGTGGTGGCGGCCAAAGCCAGCCAGCAGTTCACCACCATCCCCGCCACTCTCCGCCTTTTCTTCCATGACTGCTTCGTCACCGTGAGTGTTTTGCCAAAGAAAAGTCTATGCATGTTATTGCAGTGGCCGGCCGGCTGGTCGGCCGTCGCTAAATAATATAAATTTTTTTTATAAAGGTTTCACTATAGAATTGCCATAACTGTTAAAGGTATTTTAGATAGTCCGATAGCTAGCCTGCCAAAGTAGTTAGTCCGGCGGTCAAGGTAGCAAAATGGCATATTTAGTTACTGCATAGTTTTCAGTCTTTCATTTCAAAACTTATATCCGAATTCATTATTAGCTAGAAGTTAGATTTTTTTTATAATGATAGGTATATACAAATTCGAAATTATATGGTATATATGTGCGTTATAAAGTTATTTTGACGAATATGGACTCAATAAGATGGAGTATCTTATTTGTTAAAATGAATTACAGAGCAATTGCAGGTAGTTTGAGCAAAGTTTTAGTCTTGGGTTTAATAATTATTAATTGGTGAAACATAGGCATCATTTTGGAATTCCAATCGTAACAACTATAGGGAGAACTTGATAAGGTTGTTGACTTGAGAACCTTGATTAGGTCCAGAACAGATCATCTAACTCAATAACTATGGTGCAATCTAACTGGTTATGGCAACAATTAAGGTTAATGATATAAGTGACAGAATGTTAGTAGAGCCATGATAATATATATATATGGTGAGTTCTACGGTACCCAGGGTGAAATCTGGGGTAACGCATATCTTGAGTATGAAAACGCTATCTAGACCTTGAATTGATTGATCTTTTGGACATGATGTCATACTCTAACTCTTAAAGATCAAAATCTAGGTCTTAGTTCTCTAAATCTTATACCCCAAGATCAATTTAATTAGAAACAAGAATCGATGGCTATTATTCGTCCAAATATAGGCAAAAAGATGAATGCTTCATCTTAGGGTTTATAGTTTATGATTTAGATAATTAGGACCTAGGGTTCACTCATTAAGGGTTAGGGTATAGTATCAAGCCCAAAAATTCTGCTAATTCGAGGTCTAGATAGTGTTTTCATACTCAAGGTATACAGTACCCTGGATTTCACCCGGGGTACCATAGAAGCCACCATATATATATATATATATATATATATATATATATATATATATATATATATATATATTCAAATCATACATTCTTGTTCCTTATTTCCTAGCTATATATATGATTCAATAGATACGACCAACCAATATGATTTTATTTTTACCAACATGGCATAACTCATTTGCTTAGTAGCTTATGTTTTGGGTTTGTAGTAATGGCTTATTCCAACCAATCTCGTTTGGTTTAATTTACAGGGCTGCGATGCGTCAGTAATGGTGGCATCACCAAATGGAGATGCGGAGAAAGATGCTTCCGACAACCTTTCCCTCGCCGGTGATGGTTTCGACACAATTGTAAGATCGAAAACTGCGGTGGAAGCCATATGTCCCGGAGTTGTCTCTTGTGCAGACATCATGGCCATTGCCGCTCGGGACGTTGTAGCATTGGTACATTGCCCTAATTTCGCCTCTCTTTTATACTTCTACGCAGACTAAATCTTTGAACTCCTAACTTTAACTGTGGAAAACACTTTCAGGCTGGAGGCCCATCATTTGCAGTGGAACTGGGGCGAAGGGATGGTATGGTTTCCAGCGCGTCCCTCGTGGCTGGAAACCTGCCCGAGCCCAACATGACCTTGCCTGAGCTCAATGCCATCTTCGCCAGGCACAACCTCACCCAATTCGACATGATCGCGCTCTCTGGGGCTCACACGCTCGGCTTCTCCCACTGCGACCGCTTTGCCAACCGCCTCTACTCGTTTTCAACAACATCTACAATCGATCCTTCCTTGAACGCGACTTATGCTCAGGAGCTTATGAAGGCATGCCCTCAAAACGTGGATCCTAGCATTGCCATCGACATGGACCCCACCACGCCACGGACGTTTGACAATGTCTACTACCAGAATTTGGTTGAAGGCATGGGTTTGTTCACTTCGGATGAGGTGTTGTATTCTAATCCGAGGTCTCAGCCAACTGTGCTGGATTTCGCGAGGAATGCTGGCGATTTCAATGGAGCATTTTCATTTGGGATGAGGAAGTTGGGGCGAGTCGGGGTGAAGACCGGGAGCCAAGGGAGTATTAGGAGTGACTGCACAAACATAAACTCTTAGAGAAGTAGAACAAAATGCTTCTCCAATGGTGCAATGAGAAGAGGAAAATTCACGATTGTCAGATTTCTCTCATGGAGAGATGTATAGAGATTTATATATATATCGAAAGATTCAAAGGATCGAATAAGAAGATAATGATTTGTCGTTACCAATCTGCTTAAACAACACTAAAAAGGAGGGAGAACATATTATAATGTAGG